CCCCCCCCCCCCCCCACACACACGATTACTACACTTTCCCAAGCCTGGCAATGAAAGCAGAGATCTGGTGAGAAGTTTAGCTGGTTCAAAATGCAGCTGCTCATCTGTTAGGCCAGTGGGGGCCAACTCTTTTTGGCAGGTGTTCCACAAATAAGCACCACACTTTCTCTCTGTGCCTCTCTGATACTCTGCCCTTGCCCAGGTTGCTGCTGTGCTGCCTGTCACTTCCCCAGTCTGCTGCATGCGACACAGATCCTTCTTATACCACAAGTAGCTTGACCCCCTCACCCCCATGTTATGCAATGATGACTGCTAATAACATCCCAGTAGCCTGGAATTTCTACTGTTCAATTAGGATCAGGGTCCACATCTCGAGTCCGGAGGCTGCAATGGACAGGTTGGGTCAACCCCAAAAGAGAAATTTCAAGTCTAGGATGGAAGGATTGCTGTGACAATTGCTTGTCATAATGGGGGGATGCACCTGTGAACTTGCAGAAAGAGACAAGAAATCCGTCTTCTTCCCAAAAGGGCCAAGAAGGATCTTGTCACATTATAAACAAAGACAAAATACTTGCCATTTTGGGACAGCTTTCCCTGAAAGGAGACACCTTCTATACCAGTAGAATGGGAGCAAGGACCAAGTAAATACCTTTGTGTGTTCCATGATCCATTCAGATGCTGTAGTCCAAGGGTGGTCAACCCAAGGCATATTTGCCACAAGTGGCACAGGCAACCTGTGTGACACATGGCAAACTGGGGAGAGAGCAGCAGCATACCAACAACACGGAAGAAGTGGGACAATACCACCCAGAACATCATCATTAACTTACCTGAGGCAGGGCAAGAGGATTGGAGTGGCACTCGGAGTGTGCAGGAATTATCTGGTAGCACACCTGCCAAAAATGTTGGCCCTCTACTGTAATCTATCACCAGGATGCTATTAGTTCAGTCACAAGGAGTCTTCCCCTGGGCGCACAGAGTTGCTGCCTACGAACTACATGAGCCCTAACTGTGCTGATATTCAGGATATTTCACCTTGGGGAAATGCTGCCACCTTCAATTAACTTGTCACAGTGACTCTTTCCAGCACAGCATTTTACCTGAAAGATGCGTGATACCCATTCTACTCACCTCTTGAGAGTCTGAAATCCCATGGCATTCTTTTAAAAGAGAAAGACAGATAACTCAGACTAGTGGCCAGGCCAATCAGCTGTTGATATCATTTTATGCTCAACAGAAGTGGTATATATTCTAATGTCTGTTATAATTTTGTTTTGCCTGCACAATTCCTACTTTAATGAAGCAATTGCCTGCTCTCAACAGTGGCTTTTAGTTACCCAAGTGAAAAGACCAGAATGGGTTTTCACAGCTTACCTAGGACAGCTCCAATGTTCTGCTTCATGCAACATCTGGGAGGCTCTCTCTTCTTGTGCAGCTGGGCCCTCATGTTTGAGGACTCTTAGTGGCTTTAGGAAGCTGAGTGGGAGATATACACACTGTCTGAAGGGCATGGACATCTGAAGCAAAACATCATGAAAGTTAATCCATCAAGAGCAGGGGTGGGCAATTATTTCAACTGGAGGGCCGCTTAATGAGTTTTGGCAAATTGTCAAGGATTGCAAGGGTGGCCCCGCCCCTTGACAAGTGCCCCACCCCCTGGTTGCCATCTTGGGACCAGAAGTCTTGCCCCCTAACCTTTGCCCCCAGAAGTACTCTTTTTGGGAAGGGGGTTTGCCGTCTTGGAACCAGAAAAACCCCCAAACAAATTATATACTTAAAAACCCCCAAACATCCACAGTAACATGTTTCCCCCCTCAATTTGTGTGCATTTGTACTGTGTATATAGAAGTGATTCCATAATAGCTCAAAATGAAGTCTTACTCCTGTATATTGAGGGGGAGGGGGTGTGTAGCAGTGCATGGGGCTCTCCCAGAGATGCACAGGTGTGTGTAGGGCGTGTGGGGAAGAGTGAGATTGTGGGTATGATGAGGTGTGCATGTGAGCCCCTGTGCATGCCCCCGAGCCGGTCAGCACCCATCTCTGCGCCACCACAGCCCAGAGCCTGCGTGCTCTGCAGTGCCTCCTCAACACCACCAACAGCACACAGCCCCAGCACTGCCCTGTGCCAGCTCTGCACTGCCTGGCTGTGGCACGTCCTGCTGCCCCTGGGCACACAGCAGTGCTAGGGCAGCTCCATGGCTGGATTGTCTTTCTAGGCAGCTCGGTGGCAGTGGTTCCTTCCAGCTGCTGCTGGCCCCAGCCCCAGTGCCAGCAGGGACTGGCGTGCGCAGCCCTGACCCAGCATGCTCTGCACCTGCTCCAGACTTGCCCATCTAGGCTCAGCAGCAGCAATGGCAGCCAGGCAGAAACTGCTGTTCAGGACAGGGGAGAAGCAGCTCCTCCACTTTGCCACTTCTAAGTAGTGCTCACTGCAACCACCTGGAGCTCACGCCATGCCAAGCTGTCCTGTGTCTCCATTCCCACCATCTCTGCTCAGTGAGCAGTTCAGTGCAGTGCAGCCTCAGGGCAGCAGTGATGGAAGTTCAGGGTAGCCCAGCATGGTGTGGGTTCCAGGTGGCTGCACCAAGAACTGCCCAGCAGTGGCAAGGGGAAGGGGCCACTTTTCCCCCAGGCTGAGCAACAGTTTGTCTGGCCACCCTTGCTGCTGCTGCTCAGCCTGGACAGGCAAGTCTGGAGCAGTCACAGGGCATGCTAGATTGCAGCTGTGAGCTGGTCCTGCAGGGCTGGGGCCAGCAGTGGCAGCAGCCAGAAGAAGCCACTGCCACCCATGAAAGGCAGTCCAGCTGCAGAGCTGTCTCGCCCCACTGCGTGCCCAGAGGATGGCAGGAAGGTCCATGGTGGGACCAAGGGACCCACAGTGGGCTGGACAAAGCCCCTCTGTAGGCCAGAGCCCACAGGCCATATTTTGCCCATTCCTGATCAAGAGAATGATTCTTTCATGTTTTTTAAAGAAAGCTAGTATGTTTTTATGGGAGTTTACTTAATGTAGGACTGGTTTGTTACTACATCATTAAAAGGTGGACACTTCCATTGTTCAAGGGTTGGGAGGTTCATTGCAATAAGTACTCCACCCAGTGACTACCCAGCACTTTACAAAAGGAGATGATACTGCACCCACCACTGTAATGAAAAAAAGAATCCTGAAGCAATTTGGTCAAATACACAGCAAATTAGTGGCTAACCCTAGGTCCTTTATCTACTGGACCATGGAGGGCTCATGCTGTTTGGTCTATACACAGATTCTATTATTGCTTTGAAATTTTGAAAAAAAATGCTCATTCCATTTACTTAGAGGCAGGGTGGAAAATAGTTTAAAGACTAATGTAAAAACAGCCACAGCACGAGAAAGAAAATGTTTAGTAGTGGATGTCACAGGGGAATCAAACAAAGAGAAGTACCTTGATGCAGCAGTCACAGCAGATAACACTAAGAAAAAGCCAAAACATACACATAGTGTTATTACCCAAATGAAGTTCAGGAGATTTATGTTACGTGGAAAGACAGGAATGTTGTTTTTCTCCCCCTCTCCCCACCCCCAGAAAAGCTCAGAATAAAAAAACTCAGAAACATCATTTGTTATTAAAAAACAAAAACAAAACAAAAAAATCCCTAAGAAAACAAGTCTGAGATAAGCAAATTTTAGAACTTTCTTGTTCATTTACTGTTAGCAATCAAAGAGAGGTAGTTAGCTTTCTATTTACAAACAAACATACATCTTTATACTGGGTGCATGCAAAACTTCAGTCTATAGACATACTCACTGTTTGCCACAAATATGCAATATTCCTAACCCAGTATTTCAATCTCATGACTAGCCAAACAAGTCACCAAGTGTTGACACCTGCAGATGAGATGTTTAAATGGGCTGCATCTGCCCAAAACAAAATGCATCTTAAATGACCAAGACAAACTTTATACACTTTGCAGGTCACAAGCTTGTATTCATGATTCACCAGGCTGCGGATCCTAAACATATGAAGCAAGATCAAGTGATGTTCTGTGCTGAGACCGAGGGCAAGGATTTGTTGTGATATCTTACAGAGGACCAACTATGTAGTTGGGAGACCTGTTGGACATGCTATCAAGTATCAAGCACCATTCGTTAGGTCAGTTAATAATATTGTTCCAATTGGTACTGTCCCGATTCTCCTGTATGTTGTTAAACACGCCATCTGTAGGGTGGCTCTTGTGTTGACAATTGGTTACATTTTCTCCTTCTGTCAGATTGCACCATCAGGGTTTTTTGGTAGAAGGTGTGAGACTGTTGTGACCGGAAGATGGGCACTTGAATTATGAAAGCCTGTTCAACTGCCCTTCCCAACTATATAGTTAGTTCAATAAAAGATAAAATTGCACACAAAAAAATCCTTGTCTTCCAAACCCTTACTGGACTATAATCACAGCAACAACACTCCAACTCTACTTCAGAATTTGAGGAAGTTCAAATCCAGCCTTTGTGGCCAAGGCTGGTCTCCAGACTAGAGATGCTTATTGCTAAGAGGGAACAAGTATGCTACTTGTATAGTATGTTTGGTTATTGTTCATGAATTTTAGAAGTCAAGAAGCTTAGAAAGTATTTAAAAGATTAATTTTTCCTTCACCCATAGCCATAACAGTTGTAACAGTGCTTCACTATGTTTGCAAACTTAAAAGGGCTAAACAGCCTGTTCTTATCAGATTGCTGGAATTGTTTGAAAGCTAAATTATTCAGCAAAGTCTCTTGACCCTTCCCCTTCACCCCAAACCCTTTCATACACAGCTTACCTGCTACAGAGATGACAGCTGTAAGGCCATTTAAAGAACATCTGCTTATGGCAACTGAAACAGACCTAGACAGAAGAATTACCCATGAATGCCAAAGGAAAGATCCTTTGGCAAGCTATATATGTTGACAGTACAAAGCATTTTCCACGTAAGCCAATCCTCTGACAGCTTTAGATCTACACAGAGAAACAGTTCAGATAAAGGATAGCAGAGGTACAGAAGTTGAGATCTATTAGGCAAGAAGTTTTTTCTATAAGATTTAAAACTTGAAGTGTTTACGATGCAGAGACCTGGGGAGGCTGATTCAGGCAGGAAGAGCTGTAATGAAGGCTCTTGACTGAACAAAGCTCCATTGTGCAAAAGAATAAAAGGTAGCCAGTGAGGAGGACAGGGCAGGGCTAGCAGGAGAATGGAGACAAATCTTTGAAGCATGGACTAGAACAATTCCAAGTCAATTAAGATAAGTCAGGGCAAACTTAAATGTGATCCTGAAGGGAATTATGAGCCCTACAGAAGATACTGAGTCTCTTGAATTCAACGAAAGGACAGCACAAATGCACAGCTCAACAGGAACCCACAGCTAATGGTGAAGTGATATTACACCACAGGCCTGAAATCTAGGGGACTAGAGCAGTATTTCTCAACTTGTGGGTCACAGGAATATATGAAAGGGTCATAAACAAACTTTAAAAATGAATTCTCCTTTAAAAGGAAAAAAAAAGCTTCATGAGAAACCATGGGTTTTCCCTTGCAGGCTGACAGAGTTCCAACTTGCAAGGGGCCGCTTGCCTCCCTCCTCCCCACCCCAAACACTATCAGGAATGAGGGGCACTGGGCTGGCCATCACTGTTTACAAACAGGTTCTGGTACAAAAAAAGGTTGAGAACCACTGGACTAGAGCATGGGGAAAACAAAAGCTGCAGTAGTCAGGAAGAAAAAAAAATGGTAATAGTCAACAACTTCAGAAAAAGATAGAAGGAAGGTAGGGGTGCACACAAACAGTGGAGATGGACAAGTCTGATATGGAAGAGGATTCAAGGTCATGGATACTACAAATTAGATTGTGGAAGGAAACTGTCACAGGAGGCTCCCCCACCCCAACTCAAAAGCATCATGCTGGTCATAAGGACATGGGTGCTGAGCGAGGACCTTTCAGAAAGGACAGTATGCTGAAGGAGAGTGCTACATACCTTGGCTCTTGAAGATATACTGCAACCATATCTGTGGAAAGCAATCTCCATTTCAGATGCCATCATGGCATATCGGGTTCCAATCAGATCAGTAATAGTTGGCAATGGCCACTTTGTAGAATTCTCTCTCCCCTAGGCAAACAACTAAGAATGAACACATCAGCAAAAATGCCAGGTGGCTATCACCAAATTACTTTAAAACAGAACTAAACTTTACATTAAAGTGATGGAGACAACCCTGGAACGCTAACTGCCACAACCATTTAATGCATCTCTCCTCAAATTCAGTTCTGCCAGGCTTCTCTGCAAAAGATGAACCATGTTCCAAATTGCCTTGCAAGAACCAGCCTTGACAGCTTCATGCAACACCAACAGCTCTATTCCCTGCCCCACACCCTCCCCATTCCTATGGGAAGACCAGCCTTTGGTTTGTCACAACCAGAGGCCTCTGGGCATTTGAAGATGACACTTTAAAGTGGCTTTAAAGTGGGTTAAATGCCTTTTGCGCTGCTTTAATGATGTTGTTTGCACATTCGGTGGTGGCATAGTGCGCCTTAAATGACGTTGGGATGCAGCAAATGACTTGGGGCAATGCAAAGTAAACCATATCCAAGAAATTTTAGTTTCTTACCCTACACCTGTAGAGGGAAGCACTGGACTCTATGCAGCTCAGGGGCTGTGCAGGCAGACTGGCAGCAGCTTGGGAAAACAGGTTTCACAGAAGGGGCGGGGAAAAAAGAGCAGCAAGCCTGATCTTTTGGTTTTTTTCCTCCCCCTGGAGCCTGCCTGCCCGCCTGAGCACTTGACGGATTTCAGTGGTAATTCCCCCCCCCCCAAAAAAATGCCAATTTTTTTTAGAAGTGGTGGTTACAGGAAAC